CTTCAGAAAAGCCCTTCTGCTTATGATGAAGAAGTTTTCAAGGTGCATTTTTGTTTTACAATTCTAATTTAGCAGTAGCACTCTGCATAATTAACACATAAAAGGCATGTTTGGTATGATGAACCGTATGATACACGACTGGAATCTCTGCAATTGCAATAAACAAATCAAATTTAGCCCCTATTTGACCATGTAAAACTTGAATCTTTATGTTAAAAAATCAATATTTTCTGGTTTCAGGCCTTGGATTTTGTTATAAGTGAAGCAAAGAAGTACAAGATAAGGTTCATATTATCCTTAGTTAATAACTGGGAAGCATATGGTGGCAAATCTCAATATGTCAAATGGGGTAAAGCTGCCGGCCTCAATTTGACTTCTGATGATGATTTTTTCTCACATCCAACTCTCAGAAACTACTACAAAGCCCATGTTAAGGTAAGTTCGTTGAATATACTCTAACCCTTTTGTAATAATTACTCCAAAATTTGAAATTTAATGCTTTCTGGCTCCTGTAGACGTTGCTAAACAGAGCCAATACTATCACAAACATAACTTACAAGGATGATCCTACTATTTTCGCTTGGGAACTGATGAATGAGCCACGGTGTGAATCAGATCCCTCTGGAAATAAGCTGCAGGTTCGGTTTCTCATTAGAACTAAAGAAAATCTAAGACATAGATCTAACAAATTCTGAAACATTAATTTGCTACTAAGTCGCGTGGCTTGATATTTACTATAACAGCAACAATTTCTGAAAATATTTCAAGTGCCAATACTATTTTTTTTAGGAATGGATAGAAGAAATGGCTGTATATGTGAAAAGTGTTGATCCAAAGCACTTGGTCGAGATTGGATTGGAAGGTTTCTATGGTCTTTCTACACCTAACAGGTTTCAGTTTAACCCAAATACCTATGCTCAACAAGTTGGGACCGACTTTATCAGGAATCATCAAGTTCTTGGGGTTGATTTTGCTTCTGTTCACATCTATCCAGACTCTTGGTAAATATTAACTATGGCTTTGAAAGATTCTCACTCTTTTAAGTTTATGTTTGGCGTGCTGTAGTGAACCAGACTCGATAGTATATTAAACAAGATTTTAGCTTAATATTCTTCCTAATATTATCCAGCCTATCGTACCAAGAATATCGTAAGTCTTAAGTGAATACCTCGATTCATGTGGAGAACTCAATTGTGAAAACTTCTTATGCTTCTACTACAATTGTAAAACTTCATGTTTCAAATACTCGTCTTTCGTTTGAGTTCCTATGTGATTTTCTGAGGGGTATTTTTGACATCATATGAAGGATTTCGCAAACAATTTCGGATGTTCATATAGAATTCACCAAGTCATGGATACAATCTCATATCGAAGATGCTGAGAATTCTCTCGGAATGCCTGTTGTGTTTGCCGAGTTTGGTGTTTCAGCAAAAGATCCTGGCTATAATTCAACATACCGGGATACCTTCTTGAGCAATGTGTACAAGATCCTTTTGAACTCGACTAGGAAAGGAGGCGGTGGAGGTGGTTGCCTTCTGTGGCAGTTGTTTCCTGAAGGAACAGATTACATGGACGATGGGTATGCAGTTATTCTTTCAAAGTCTCCTTCAACATCAGACATCATTTCTCTTCAATCAACTAGGTTAACTACCTTCAATTCCTTGTGCTCTTGGAAGTGCCAATGGGGTTGCAAGAAAAAGCATGCCTTGGAGACTTTCCTCTATCACGATGAGCTCTAAGTTTCTTTGCTTCTCTTCTACTAAATGAAGAATCGATGTCATATGTTCCAGCATTTCTAGTTCAGTATCATGCATAGCTATGTCCAAAAGCACGGGTGTTGAATGGAAAATCTGATATTAATGCTTACCCAATATACAATTTGAAAGAGTAGTGCTGTTTTAGATTTTTCCAATATTATGACAATCCACAAATTCAGTTCCAATGATAAACACTTGCCACTTCACCTTAATAGGTTACAGTCATAGAATTATGAGGTATTCATTACTACCTAATACGATAACATTACCCAAAACTTTCATAATTTTTTAATTAAGGGCTGTTTAATGATGACGTTTATCTTAAAAAGGACTCTTGGATGTATAAGAAGCGGAAAATATTTCCATTTTAAAGCTTAAAAAAAGTCCTTTCTTAAGATAAACATGTTAAGCCCTTGTTTGGCACACGTTATTTGAAAAATTAAAGAGAGGTTAATCACGGGATGTGTCCTATTAGGTCAGGGAACAAGAGTTGTCTGTACACTAGTGCCCACAAAGAGTCCTAATCCATGTTTCAAGAATCGAACCCTCACACTGTGGCTGCCAGCAAGGTTGAGTATACCTTACCCTTGTTCTTTGCACCACTAAAATATGTCTCGGAGGGCTAGTCCAGAATATTTTATTGTTTGAGTCTGTGGTGAATAATGATATTATAGTAAATAATTTAAAATTTTAAAAGGTGCCGGTGCAAAAGACCGTTCAAAATTAAACTTGTGACTGTTTAAGAAGATAAAACAATAAATGCATAGCTGCAGACGCGTAGATTGGTGACCACTCATCTCATGTATTTAATGAATATGTGTATGACAACACGAGTTTCGAAACTTTTAAAAGTAATTGGTGCAATTATGTTCAAACAACGAAAGAAAGAACATAGAATAATTCTTCTCAAACAAGACCACGTGGGCAAGCACCCTGCCAATAGAGGGAGGCACATGTCTCCCTCAATATGCGGTCCTGTTTCTCTAGCAAAACTCAAGAACATAAGACGTAGTTTCAATCCCCATTTGATTCTCATAAATTTAAGAGCGAAAAAGAAAAATATAATCGTTACGAAACTTACACAAAAAATAAAAAGTTAAATATGATAGATAACGATCATATTTTTATTTTTGTGGCCAAGAAATAAGAATTAAACATGGGCTCAGTCTCCAAAATAAAAGACACAAAACTCATAAAACGACAAAAGAATATTCCAACAGACTCACGTGGCAAGATTCTTTAATCCTAGTTAAGGCCATTACTGTAATTACAACTGCAAGTTTAGGATAAGCATTGCGAGGTATTAGCCGCCAATAAATTGTAATTTTATGAGAATTTAGCTTGTTTATGTTAGCTAAAAAGTAAAAAGTTGATAAAATTTATGTTAAAGTATATAATTAATTTTAATTACATAATAAAATTCACAAATTTTATCAATTTTTTAACTATACATTTTATCAAATTTTATAAAAAAATTACTAAAAATATAATTTTTAACTAAATCAGCCTTTATCTATTCATTATGATCTTGTTTGGTGTGACTTAATAATTTAATAAAAATTGAAATCAAAGTCAATAATTAATTGTAACTACTCATTTCATTAGATACAAAACTGTTATCAAATTTTTAAATATACACGTTTCATCAAACTCGTCAAAATCTGCCCATTTTGTTTACCATTTCAAAACTCCATTTTTTTTTTTCTAAAACTCATTTTTAATTACACATCTTCATAATATAATATTTTGCACATAAACTTAATTTTTTTAAAAATATTTTTTAACTACATTCTCCAAAAATTCACTATTCCAAAACTCACTTGAAATATGATTTTTAATTACAAAAATAGGGACTATTAAAATCAGATTTTTAGTAGATTCTGATAAAAATTGATAAAATATATGGTTAAAAAGTTATGAATTTCATACAATATGCGATTATAATTAATTGTTAATTTTGTCTTAAATTAAAATTTGAGAGGATTTTTAGTGAGGATTAAAATTAAATTTTTTTAGTATATTGTGATAGAAGTTTTTGAAATGTATGGTGAAAAAGTTGGAGGATCCATGAAAGATATGATTAATGTTGATCATTCGACTTTAATTTAGATTAAAATCAGATTTTGATCGATTTTAATTAAAACCAAACGTGGAGTGAATTTTATTATCTTTACAGGTAGGGCCATAATATTTAAAACAAATTTTTAAAATCTATTCAAGGTTCCAACTGGCATATGGCTTACGTATATATGACGATGTAGACAATACGTCATCATGTGTGCGCAATAATATTTAACGACGCGCTAATAATGCGTGTGTCTACTTTTTGATACTATCCACACGTGATTTAAACCGTCAAACAACTTTAGGCAAATTACAATTTTGGCCACTTTACTTCTACTAAAATTTCAATTTAGTCAATGAACTTCAATATATTTAATCGAATCCTTAAACGTCAATTTTATTGCACTACTCATACTCCAGCGGTTTAACCTCGAACTCCTACATGACGTTAAATATAATGGACAATTCACATGTAATAAATTATAAGTCGAAAGGTTGTGTGAGTAAAATTGCCCAAGTTAAAGCTATTTTAGTCATCTTTTGCCCGTGTTTGGTATGACTTAAAATTTTGTTAGTAAACTTTTAAGGCTAATCAGCGCAAAACGTCCTCATTTTTCAATATTTTTGTTCAAAACATCATACCTTTCGTTTTTTGACAATTTTAACCTCACTTTTACCTTTCATTACTGAAAAGTTTATTCTATCCACCTACCGTCAAATGCTCCATTAACTCAACAAAGACTTATTAACACAAAACATCCTTACCTTTCTTTTTTGACAATTTTACCTTTCACCTTTTATTACGAAAAAGATCATTCCATCCAACCACCATCAAATACTCAATTAACTAAACAAAAAATGCGATTTTCATTTAAAAAACCAAGGGTAATATAGTTTTACTCAATTTTTCCATGGCCTTCTTCCCGCCTCCAAAGTTGACTGTACAAATTATAAGTAATATGAAAATAATTTATACAATTATTCCATTAAATAAATAAGAAAATAACGCAACGAACGTTGTATTTTACCTTGAGAAGAATAATGATTGCTATAATACTATACTAATAAATTTTGGAATGATAGATGAAGAGATTGAATACGTGATCAATAAATTGGAGATGTCCTGTCAATTTTGTATTTATAAGGGCATATTTGGAAGGCTTTAATTTCTAATAGTTTAGCGCATTCTTTATTGTTAATGTGGGGTCTTCCTGTTATCCATAGAGTAACTTTTATCCGTTGAGCGACGGCCCTTCCACTCAACACTGTCAGATCACCAAGGCCGGCTTTCGTCCTTGCTCGACTCGTGGGTCTTGCAGTCAAGCTCATCTGAAAATGACTTGTAAACTTTATTATGACCGTCCCTCATTAGTTATTCACGGATTGCGTTATCAAGAAATGTATCCACGGTTTCTTGTTCTAATCCAAACACTTCGGCCTAACGGGAACAAGCTATGACAAAATGATAAGATGAGGTGCCCTGAAAGAAGGGTTGAAACTTTTTAGCCTGTAGCTTTCCCCGTCCCCCCTTCGTCGGGCGATTGTGTGGGGGATGCGCCACCAGAAATTGGGCTTGAAGCTCTCACCTTACCAACGCGTCGACAACTAATGGTTGTTGGTCATGACTACTACCAAAAAGCTCCAATGAAGATGAATATTTCACATGGAAGAGTGTGCATAGATTTTTCTGGCCCAAGTGTATCTTGTCTTTATCACGAATCATTTTCCTTAGTTAACAATAATTATTATTTTGTCAATATCTGCGGTTGAAACCCCCTTTCCCCATAGAGATATTGAATAAAAAGTGGTATTTTGTTTGCCACTATAATTTTGAAAATGAACGTTTAAATGTCGCTCACGGCTTTTTCGACTTCTCAATAAAGGGAAATATGACCAATAGTGGTTCGGATGTATATAAAAAGAATTTCTTTTTTTATACTTCTTACTATTAAATCTCATAATAAATACCTAAAGATTCATAGTAAATTTCGATGGGGCTTTCTCTTGAAGCAGTAACATGTTGAGCTAAAAAAATAGTATATATATATTTTTTGTCTTTATCTCAATGATCGACTAAGGTTCTGTTTGATTGGAATAATGAAATTTGGGTGGAAAGAAAATGAATTTCAAGAAATTGAATTACTTAGAACTTATTTTATTGAAAATTGTCAATTAAATATGTTTGATTAGTATAATTTTCTACCCAAAAATATTGAAATTTTGTATCTTTTGGTGTTTATTTGACTTCATTTTTCATGAAAATTGTCAATTAAATGGATATAATTTGTTATAATTGCGGATAAAATTTGTTTCTATTGTAAAAAAATAAAAAATGTGAAAAACCAATTCTCACCAAAACCATGAGAATTGATTTTCCACCAATTCACGAAAAATCCATCACGTGAGGGGAGAGGAAAAGAAGTTGCTAGGAAAATTTTTGCTGTCAAACTCACAAAAGGGTTTTTTTTTTCCATTTTCCACGGAAAATGTACCATATTGAACAGGGCGTGAAAGTAAAACCCAAAATTTTTGGACAGAATCTGCGCGTGGGATTGCAAATTCCAATCTCGTAGAGCTTTCATGGAAATTTCTTTGTTTTCTTTTTCATTAATTAATAATTTCTTGAGCATATATATGAGTGGCCTTTGTTCGATACATGTACTTCATATCCTTCACACCGGAAAAGACAGACACAGTACACCGTACACGGTACACATGGAGTCCTCTTTACTTGCAAGTACAGCCACTGGCCGGAAAAGAGTAATCGCAGAGTTAACTCGTGGCCGGAAATTTGCGCAGCAGCTTCAAGCTTTGTTGCGTAAATCGCCGGAAACTGATGTTATTGACGGCTGTGGAATGACGTCTGCTCAGATTCTGGTGAACAAAATCTTGGATTCTTATAATCGAAGTCTTCCAAACATTAGCACCGGCGAGTCTGATGTGGTTTCTGAAGTGCTAGGGGTTGATTCTCTTTGTTTGGATGGCCACCAGAAGTCTGAAGATTCCGACGAGAGTTGTAAGACTTCTGTACGAAAGGATCGGAGAGGATGCTACAAAAGAAGGTAATTAATATATTCTTGTAATTATATTCGTTAAAGCCTTATATTTGCTTAATAATTAATTAGTTTTGGATTCATTCTAGTCCGCATCTTCACACACGTCTATTTCAGGAGAACTTCCGAGACGTGCATCAAAGAAACCTCTTCTTGGATTGATGATGGCCATGCATGGAGGAAGTATGGACAAAAATCCATACTCAATTCCCCACATCCAAGGTATTCTTTTCTAGTATTGAAGATTTATTTAGTTTTTTGATATGCCATACGACATGCTAGATAGAATTAGAACGAGATTACAAATTTCAAGGTCGCCTCTTCATCGGTTGGCGCTGAGAAAACATCGTTATTTTCTTAGATCAAGTCCAGCTTGAGCTCTAGGACGGAATTTTGAGAAGAGGCATGAAATTTGTGCCTTACTGTTCTATCCGGGTTTTGCCACCGTGACAGGTTCCTATGACAGGGCGCATATGTGGTGCCCCCGATCTGTCACGGTCGCTGATCGTTTATCGAAACCCCTTCTATCCTAGGGGTACCAGTAAAGAGTGTAGGACGTAGGAGCATTTCTAGTTCTTTCTTTTTTGAGTAGCACTCTGTTAGGTCAGTTGCTCATGATCTTTGTCTTAATTAAATACTTCAATTAAAAAATGGGATCAATTCTGCCGAACTTGTAGAGAATGAATCTGGTCTATGTTATAACTTAGTAAAATAATATTTAATTTTCTTTTTCCCTTTTTAATACGGTCGAGGCAGTCCAATCACGTTATGTGACATACCATCCAAATATATTAACATTTTAATTAAGTTTCTTTGGACAATTGAAATGCAGAAACTACTTTAGGTGCACGCACAAGTATGACCAGGGATGCCCAGCAACAAAACATGTCCAAAAGATTCAAGAAGATCCGCCAAAATTCAGGACAACATACTATGATGATCACACTTGCAATAATCCATACAAATCATCTCAAGCTATTATCATGGATCCCACCGCAGGGGATACTTCTTCCAAGATCATCTGGAGTTTCGAGTCCCAGATTGAACCAGACTATAAGCCTAATGATCCAGTGAAACAGAAGAACAATGAACAAGTTCAAGATTTGCCCAACATCATATCAGGATCATCCGATTACTTCATCTCACCTTGTCATCTCACGACATTTGATCAAACTTCTTGTCCCGTGACAGCATTTTCATCAGGATCTGATCATGGGGATGTGATTTCTTCTGACGTGTATTCCTGTACGGCTAGCACTCACAGTATTGATGTGGATTGTATGATTGTAGGACTTGATGATTTTCTTGAATATGATTGACGGCCTAGTTTTCATCATTCCCTCTATGTATGTAGACGTAAGAGTGTTATTCCCTGTGTACTGGGAATAAATTTGCAGAAGTTGTATCGGCCCTCACATTGGGGGTGGGCCCTATGTAAATATTTTATTACATAAAATAAACCACTCATCTTACTGTTGTGTGTAATATGTAACACTTCTGTAAAATTTTCCCCTATACATGTGGACCGATTCAAAGGTAAATCCTCTGATAAGCAGTAGCATGTACCTGATATTTTAAATCCAGTTTATCCTTCTTATAAGATATTTTAAGAACCTTGTTACATTGCCAAAAACTTTTGCTAGAATTTTTGATATGATGTTATGTGACATTTTATTATTGGACTGTTTAAAAAATATTCAATTTCTACATCCAGTCATACCTTGCCAACAAATCATCTATCAAGTAATCTGGCAATAATTTCTAGTAAAATGTCTTAACTCTTATTTCAAATCCACAATCCATAAATATTATTCCATTCACAAGAGATTTCAAATCTAGCTTATCTAAAAGTCCCATTAAATTATTAAGTATATTATTATTGTTTTTATGTTACACTAAGAAATGACAAGTTATTTTGAATCCCATATAAGTGGAGTAGCATTAGAGAGTTTGCAAATCAACTAGCCATATATTGGGTCATGTTGATATGAAGATATTAAGTTTCAGAGGGTATTTGAGATTCATTTTTATGTAAAAATAAATTTTCAAATAATAAATTGATGAAAAATGTGTAGTTGAAAAATAATTTTTTTTTATTTATCCGTAATATTATTTTAATAAAAAATATATGATTGGAAAGAAAAGAGAGAAAAAATGCATTTAAAAAAAAAATGAACCTCAATCTTACTGACAAGTTCAACTAAAAAAGTTGGCCCAAGGCATTAGGTTGACCCACAACATACCTAGTCAACGACGACTTAAAAATGTAGTGTAGACAGAAGAATAATCAATCAGCTATTATTCCAACTGTAGAATATATTAAAAAATGGATTTTGCTGAAAAAATATCCAACTCGCAATGATAAATTAAACTATTATATTAAAGAATCTTATTACATGATACCAAAGCACTAAACTTACACAGTCGAGACCAAGCCCCAGTGCATATTTTCAAGTGGTAAAAGCGGAGGGTGGAGAAATCTAGCTTTACTTGAAGCTGCCGCGTTAAGGATTCGAATCCTGAAATTTGGATTTCGTTCTTGGATAAGTGCAAGTGTACAAGCAGTCTTCCACCCTATACTCTTGGAGGCATATCCTGCGATTTACCTTTCTCACGATGTTCCAGGACAGGGGCCGTGGGAGACCGTTAAGGTTGGGGTTCAACTTTTTTTTTATATAGTCGAGACCAAAATTTAACTATCATAGAACTAGTGGACAAATTTGCACATACGCCAACAATTTCTCGGCAAAACATGCTCAGCCAAGGAGGTGTTGAGTTCAACGATGATTAGGGACGGATTCATGATTGAATTTAAGATCGGACTAAAAAACTTCAAGCGAGGCTAATACGTGAAAAAAAAATTACACATTAAAAAATATGTTTTTACAAAAAAAAAAAAAAAAAAAAGGGAAAATTACCCTAAAAAAAAATTAATTAGGCCTGGTAGAGGGGGGACTACAGCCCAGCTAGTCCCGCCCTAAATCCGTCCCTGACTATGATCCATGAGAACAAGCAAAACAACATGTCGATGGAAATAACTAACGATGAAGATTCAAGAACAAGACAATTGCGATAATCATTGCTAAACGGTAGAAGTTATGAAGCACTTGCTCTTTGGATCCTACGTCCATATAGATAGCATGAATCTTAATCCAACACTACAATAAAAAGGGGCTTTGTTTGGAAACATGAAAATTGGATTAGGAATTCAATCATACTAACTAGCTTAATTATAAAATAGAATTGGAATTTTGAACAAATATTCACTAAACTAGAAAGTATTTTTAAGATGTCTATTAAAACAAATTTATTTTAGCATCGTCTAATTAGAGCACATTTGGCTACGTTAAAAAATATAAAGGAGTAACTTTTATCTTGAATCGTGTTTAAATAACTTTAAAATATTACATTTTTAAAGAAATTTTTACCTTTGCAAATGTTTGGCACTTGGATTATAATTTGCTTCTAACCGATCAATCACTTTTTATCTACACATTGCGTGAGATTCACAAGTACTATCCAATTACTCAAAACATTTTTCTTTTTTAGTTTTCCACATGTTTGCAACTTACGAGATTTCCATCTTTTAGTCGAAAGGCATTTGTCTCCCTTTTTAGAAGGCGGTGTATTAAGTAACAAAATTAAATGTGTTATGTTTATATTATTCATCAAATCTTTGTTAGATTCGGCACATCATTGTGCACTTAGACACAAGAAAAATAGCCATGTCCCATGCCATACAAATTTCATGTCTCATTGTTCCCCCAAAATCTTGCATTAACTTTCCCTCATTGGCTTGGCTCTTAGTTGTCCTGTTTTTTTTTTTTTTTTTTTTAAATTTGATTTTAATTTCAAATTAAAGTCAATAATTAATTTTAACTACACATTTCATGAAGTGCAGAACTCTTTAACCTAAATTTTATCATTTTTATCAAAATCTACTAAGAATCTGTACCAAATATGGTCTAATAATGAAAAGTATTTAGGTTAAAATGTACTTATCTACCTATAAGTAAATTTGTAAAGCTTACCTATCCATGCTTATCCAATTGGGACCAAGACTTGTCTAATCTTGTAGAATGCCGAAAGTAGCAAAAATTGGTGGAAACTTTGTGTGAAAATGAGAAATGGGTCCCACAAATAGCTCATCTTTCAAAATGAAATGGCGTGAAAAATGATTATGGAGAAATTTGTGGTACGGCCATAGTATGTGAAAACGAATTCTTTGGTTGCTTTTCTTTCTATCTAACAACCAAACCTCTATTCTTGTCAAATATATATATATATATATATATATATATATAGTATTGATTGAAAATATGTCGTTAAAAAATAAAGAAATTTTTTTATTTAAGTATAATATTATTTTAATGAAGAATGTGTAATTAAAATGAGATCAAATCACTGTTGAAAAATATATTTCGATAAAAATAAAGGGTTCAAACAAGGGCTAAAATTCAAGTCTCCGTATCCCCGTCCTCGCCGTCAAAAGTGAAAACATCATTGGCGTTTAGGCCCGCAAAAATTTTGTCGTACACAAAATTACTCTCTCAAACATTAAATTAGAATTAATTATTGAATTACTCGAAAGTGATTTTTCGCTCAAAATATTCACCTAATTCAACTATTGAATTACAGGAAAGTGATTTTTCACGCAAAATAGGCATTATTATTGTTGCGATCATTTTCACAACACAATTATTACTTATTATTAATACTATTACTTTAAGAAAAATTAATTAAGCTAATTGTTGCGATCATTTTCACAGAATTAAATCTTTATAATTTACATTAATATCAAGTTATTATTTTTACAACATACTAATTATAAATACTTTTTATTATTCATGACTTATCCTTCCGTTGAAAATTTGATTATAATAGTTAAAATAGTGGAATTTTAATGGAAAATGTTATTTGTACCCAGCGTTTGACACGCCGGATTACCTAATGTGAGTGAGGGGGTCAGGCCCCACACATTTATTGGCGTGGGGCCCCAACCCCCCATGTGAGTAGCAGGTAATTCGGATGTCAAACTTCGAGTACCGGTAGGAAAACTCAGTTTTAATAGTTTCAAACGCACAATTCAAAAGTCAATAAGAAAATAATTGCAAGGTCTTGAATCAAATCCCTATCAAAATCAAACCCCAAACCCTCTCTCTCTTTGATTAGTTTATGAAAAATAAAATGATCCAATTCGAAAATGGTAAGTTAAATGCTCATGTTACTTTCATAATTCACGAATTTCTCTTGTATTTCACGACTTTCTTGATTTGGTTAAAATCTTAGTCGAGTTTATACTCATTATAATCAATTTGTAAACATTAGCCAAACATACGTTAAATTTTCATTCAATGAACGAGTCACTTATTCACTTAAAATTTGTCGAAGCTTCCAGTTTTAGGTTTGGAGTCATTGGTTCTATAATCAATCCCAAATGAGGATTTTGACTTAGGTAAAAATTAATCTATATCAAACAGTGCTTAATTAATTTAGTTCCTTTTATGTACTATGTTAATTGCTATTTCAAATTTTAATTAAGAAACCAAACTGCTACAAATCTGATGCATAAAAAACAATTTAAAGTTATTTTAATATTAATTCTCCTATATAGAGTATGCTTTTATTTTTTAATTTTTAAGATTTTGAGATTTAGTAAATATAATTTTTCCTATTTTAATACAAAAGGACATTGTTATAACTAATGTCCATTTTAGTAAATATCGACTCAACAATAAATCAATTTGTTTCTCAAATGTTAAAATGTAGATTTGGGAAAAAATAGAAAATAAAAAAAATCAACCATACATTTAATTTTACTTCCCATAGCCGAATTTTTCTTTAATACAGCAAAAGCTGATACTTTCGAAATAACATCAATACCAAAACAAGCTTAAGAGTATCCGTTGGCACTCTGAGAACTTGAGATTTTATTTCAGTTTAGTTTCATGAATGTACTGAAATTGTAAGAGTTGAGATTTTATTAGAGTGGAATAGAAAAGAATGAAATTTCAATTTCAACAAATTGCACTTGTTACGTTTCCTCCATAAGGCCTCCCAAATGTATCATGGGAAACCCCACAAGAAGTCATAGAATCACGAGGCTATTCTGACTGAACCCCTTTTAAAAAGGTTAAATCCTAACCTTAAGAGTCCCCCACCACTCCTGTCCTGGAGAATCGTGAGGGAGATAAATCGCAGATTATGTCTCTAAGGATACAGGGTGGAATGCTGCTTGTACACTTGCACTTACCCAAGAGCCAAATCCATATTTCAGGATTCGAACCCTTGACGCAGCAGCCTCAAGCAAAGTTGGATTTCTCCACCCTCCCCTTTTACCACTTGGAGATGTGTCCTGGGGGCTGACTGAACCCCTTTTAGTTGGGGGGGGGGGCGTGGGTTGAATTGGGTCGATTTTTACACCAACCCAAACCCAACCCAACATTGTCGGTTTGTTAGAAATCCAACCCAAACCATTTATGCATTGGTCGGGTTGGGTTGGGTTGGTCGGTTTGGGACAACTTGTTACACAATGATTAAAATGGTGGTTTCAATACCCATTTCCATGCTAGTATGGTACCTTCCTGGAGCCATAATACACATAAAAATGAGAAACCAGAATGTGGTAAATAGTCCACAACTAAAAGTGAAATTTCAGAGAATAACCTTACCCCCAACTCTTCCTCAGCAAAAAACTAAAACAATTACCCTGCACTAACTAAAGAACTCACAATACTATAGAGATCCAAAATCACAAACTTAAAAATTACGAACCACTAAAGAGCTCCAAAAGTAGTTACATCTGTTATAGGAAAAAGCATATCATTGTCCACAACCATAGAATAAACTGTAAGTATTATGCCTTAAGTTCAATCAATTTTGGACATAAATACTTTTGATATATATAATTAATGCAATTTAATTGCATATTTATTATTTAATTAATAAAAAATTAAATAAATAATAGAGTCCGTAGATTCAAATCTTCGTAATTTGTTAATCATAAAGAGTTGTGATTGTGAGATATAAATTACATCTAAATGAATCTTAAATCATTTGTGATCGTAAGTAATAACGAGATACTGATAACTTTATTACGGATAGACCATCACGTTTGGCATTTCTTACTTATGAAGTAAGTAACTGATCTCATAAATTAAAGTGTGGTGACACTTAAATGAACATGTTGATGTTTTGTTATAGAACAAAACATTGGAGACCCGCCGAGAGATTCCACATGGATAACTATCTGAGTGTCAGTGGCTAATTTCTAACGTTCGATAGGAGAATTGGTCATTTGACTTGAGGTCATCATGGTACCTTATATGAGGATAGTCATACTTTGGCGATGTTGGATGTTGCTCTGCAAAGGGCCGTTAATACGACATCGTTCGGGTACGTCAAGAATCGTATGAAGGTTGTGATTGACCAATAAAGGATTCGTCACTCTTAGATAGTAAGAGATTATGATCTGTGTTTCATTCAATTAAATCGATAACGAAATCATTGGCCAAAGTGTACTCATAAGTCGAAAATGAGTTTTCCACTTATATTAACTTAATAGTGGAGTGAAAGATATGATCAATATTCGAGATTGATACAATTCTATATCTCGTAATTGATCGAATCATATTGACGAAGGGATTATAGTTTCACGGTAAACGAACGAGTTTGGTTTTGTCATACCACGTAACATTTCCCGTCACATGTATTGCCCTGACACATTGCTAGATGTCAATCTGGGACGGCGAGCGTGAATTGATGATAAATTAAACGGGTGTTTTAATTTATCAATTTTGATTAGATCAAAATAATATTTCACTTCGTTAGGTATCGTAATCGAGAATCCGATGGGTCGCACACAAAAGAGAATTGGAAGATTGCAATTTGTCAATTAATTAATTTAACAATCGTTGGATAAATTAATTAATTAGTTTGGTTATTTATAGGCTCGAATTAATTAATTGGATTAATTAATTCACGGACCGGATTTAATTAAATGGATTAATTAAATATTGGACCGGACCGGACCAGGCTAGGCCCGTTTGGACTTATATAAATACATGGCTAGGGTTTTTTAATCCATATGATTTTTCTCATAATTATTCTTGTTAGGACAAGAGGAGAAAATCCTGGTAGTTTCAATCTTGTTCTCTGTGTGGGTCACTGTTGGAGACTGGACGATTGAACAGCTGTGGATGGTGAATCAAGATTGTTGGAACGAAAAGAATAGCAAAGAAGTTTGCAAATCTGGAAAAGGTACAATTTTATCACAATTTCTATCTAAACACAAAGGCGATTCTTGGTGAGAATCGAAAATTATTTTAATTTTCGCTGTGCATGTTAAGTAGATTCCCAACATAAACTATGTGAAGAACATTAGTTACTTTAAGAGCATTTGGTAATCCAGCAAGCAACCATGGACCTTCACTAATCAAGCACCCAACTTCACCATTGAGATCAACAGCACCAGTACATTGAATTGTGAATAATCATATTATTGATCGCACGTCTGATTCACTCAATGTGAAAGTTTAGTCGAGCGATAAGAAAACTTTCCATACCTGACCATTGTTGCAGTCCCAAATGCAGATAGTTCTATCTTCACTAACAGAGTATAGCTTGTCAGAACCAAATGGGAGATCTTTACTAATAGAGTATAGCTTTTCATTCTATAGCCACAAAAAAAAAATAATAATAATAAAATAAAATAAAATAAAATTGCAAAAACAGAAGAATCGGAATCTCTAAGAATTTTATGCAAAGGGGAAGTGGGTAGGACTTGGGATGCATAAGAAACAAGGGCGAAATAGGTATAGAAAATGAGAAAATTTACTTACCTTAGTCCCTGGAGTGTGGACAAAATGATGACCGGCAATTGGAGAACGACGATCGTCGTCGACGATTTGAGAGAAACTAAAGGAGATAGATTAGGGCTTGGGTCGGCTAGACGAGAGAGAGAGAGAGAGAGAGAGAGAGAACTTGTCTTTAGATTAATTTAGGGCTTTTTTTTTTTTTTTTTTATGTGGTGTTTCCCTTTTTTTTTTTTTAAAAAAAATTTATTTTAATGTGGTTGGGTCGGGTCGGGTTTTTCTTGTTAACCCACAGGCCAACCCAACCGACCCGATTGTGTAACCCATGGACCAAAAAAAAAAGAGAGAGAGAGAAACGAGTTTGGCGGTTTGGGCGGGTTTTTGCCCACTCCTACCTTTTTGGGTGGCCGAGCCAATATGTTTGTCGACCCCACCAGCTTACCTTGAGAGGAGGAATTGAACCAATGGGAAGGTGAGGCTGTAAAGGGAATTCAGAGCAAGATCTTCGAAACAATTTATGGTATGTGATTGATGTAACAAATCATTATTGTCGTTGCCACTTTTAGCCCACCAAGTCAAGTCTAAAGTAGCAAGCTAGGCATTTTGGATAAAAATGTGATATTGACATTTAGGGTCCATTTGATTGTAAAGATGGAATTTGAGTGGAAAGAAAACGAATTTCAGAGAATTGAATTGCCTAGAAATTATTTTATTGGGAATTATCAATTAATAATGTTTGATTGGTATAATTTTTCACTTGAAAAATGTTGAAATAAAAGTGCATTTTTGTGTTCGTTTGACTTTGTTTTTTATGGAAATTGTCAATTTAAGGGATATTTTCTTTTGTAATTGTTCCTAGAACTTGTTTCCATAAAAAAAAATAAAAAAATCCAAAAATTATCTATCTTTTGGTGTTTGTTGGACTTTATTTTACATGAAAATTATTAATTTAAGGGATATCCTCTTTTACAATTGTTTCTAGAATCTGTTTCAATTGCCTAAAAAAAATGAAAAAACAAAAAAGAAAAAACCTGGAATTGCAATTCCCACAATTTTGGTGGGAATTGCTTTTCATCAAAAAGCAAGAAAAAGCTGATGTGGCAAGGGTTTGAGGAAAACTATTTCCATGGAAAAATTCTACCATCAAATATGCCAAAAGGTGGGAAATGGAATTTAATTTCCGTTTTCCATCGAAAATAAGGGCATATAAAATAGGGCCTTAATGCTTATGATTGATTGATGTCTTCGACAAGAGGCATCAGCCGCACGAATAAAGCCACATGCCTTTTCATCCACCAGCTCTTATTCTTCTTCTTCTTCTTCTTCCACTCCAAAAATTCACACTTAATACCATTCAAAGGTAATGCAAATTTAGACTCTCAGACTATAACTTTGCCATATCATTGTTTTATCTACCACTCTACAAAGTCGACCCCTTTGTTATATCGGAGGCTCATGTATAAAGCCCTCCCATATTCATATACCCACTTTCCCAACTCACTTGACAACAGGAGTGCACGCGACCAACTCTGCGCACATCGGAGAAGGTCACGTTTAGCTAATGGGTTGTCCAAATGCGCAGGAATTAGGTATACGTGGACGTGAGAGGGTTTGGGATCTGTTGGTTACATTGGAGGTACACTTTTAGGGTTAACAACACTAAAACGAGAAATTTAACTATTTTTAGTGTTATTTGTGTGAAGATTTATACTTTGGGCTAAAAATAATTGAACAACATGAATTCACTTCGTATATTGATGATATTTACAATGTTACATATGACCATCCTAATATTGTACAATTACGAAGTAAAAGCAAAGCAATCGTGCTTTTACTTAATATACGAAGACTTTGATGAAGAGTTGTCTATGTTGTGTAGAACTTTATGTCTAGCTGCTTGCACCTCTTTCGTGGGTTCCATTAGTCAAAATAAAGGACAAAGCATTCCCTTTAAAAAAGTTTATACAACTTTAGAATGCATCAATACAAATTTAAATTAAACTAATCTCTCAATCGATGTATCCATGTTTGCTTGTCTCGTTGCTCATCCGAACTGGCAACTCGACTCAATTGATGAATAAGGACTATTGAGGTGGAGTAGGTATCTACCAAAACAAAATTCTGTCCTTAGTCAAGTGGAGGTAAAGGAGATCGAACATGATTTGTTTAATTGGATATATTCTGCAAACGGCAAGTTGGCAACTCGACCCACTATGTAGTCAGTGCACTGATGGTGGGGTTCAAGTTGTAAAAATTTTACAAATACATCACTAAATTGTAGATATAATCACAAAATTTACATGATTCTGTAAGAAATTGTCAAAGAAATATGTTTTCTTAACTTGAAGTGAAGGCATGTTTACTATATATGCAGTTCTCAGATAAGATTGAACACTACAATAAACAATAGTCGTGTTTCATTTTCTTTCTCAATATTATAGGATTTATCATTGCCAAACCAGTCAGGATTGTTCAATACATGATTTAGTCGGTGAGACTTGAGATTTTTCCGACAAAATCAAGCTCATAGAGTCCCCAAACAAGTCCCATGGAGGACAAAGCCACGGGCACAGGGCCAAACAACCACAACAACAATGGGATACTGATGCAAAGAACCCTATTTCCCACCACAGCCAATGCAAAACCTCGTTCCAATATTGTCTCTGTGTATCCAGGAGCTGGTGAGAATTCCCCTATTGCATTTATCAAGTAATTGGCATCCACCAAACAGCCCAGTGCAATAGAGCTACACAAGAAACTTGCCAACAGAAAGATTGAAGATGAGCCAAACTTTAGCACGAGAATCCTACCTGATTTGGACCCGAAAAAGTTACTGCTAAAGAGATTGTTAGCTTTCAACACGTTGTTTGTGAGAGCTGCTAAGGAGATTGTGATAATAACTGTGATTGAAGCTGTAAGAATAGTGGCCATCAATGTGTTTCTCAAGCTTTGGACAGCTAACATGCCCTTTTTATCGTCTCCCTGAAAAAAAGAAAAGGGGAACACATCCCTATTAAGAAAGAAATAAGAAGCAGCTAAAATCTTGTCAGTACTGAACATGTTTTAAATGAATCACAAGAATGATTGACAAAGGAAAATACCCATCTAACTTACCTGATTTAGTTCTTTCAACCACGCTCTTCTTTTCAATGAGTTCATACCAATGGATGTTAGGGCTGGTTTGTGCTTCAAGTTATGCCAAAGATATGCATGGTAGCCTATTGTAATGAAGAGACTCATAGGAACTAAAATGGTGTCTAGGTAAAGAATGGCACCCATTTTCAGAGCTCTTTCTTGATTCTGTAGCCTGCTAACAACAATAAACAGCATTTATGAGAGAATTTCTTATTAATTTAGATTTTTCTCCAAAGTAAAGAGCTTTTATAGTGGACTTTAGGTCATCAAAGAAAGAAAAGGGAAGTCACTTCTCTTGTACAGCATTGGGTAGGGTTTCATTATGGACAAAATATAATGGACAATGGAAGGGTTTCATATTCTAAAATTAACCAAATCAGCTAGCTTTTATTTCCACTAGCAAAAGGTAACGGCAATAGCACTTCTTTCTACATTATCCAACACATACACAAGAATCAATGCTACAATGGAGTAGTATTCATATTCCAACTAGTATCGATCCTATCATGGATTCATTAGTTAGGCACAAAAAGAAAAAGTGAGAACCTGCCAAATGCATCGCCAAAATTAGACGTACCAAATTGCAACTAGCCATTGGTTGCCCAGGAAGAGAAGGGCCTATTCATCACTCATAAATCATAGTTCGATTTCTAGTCAGTTAACTGAGAATCCAATAGAGAAAATAGTTTTTCGTCTTCTTTCTCGATATAACACTTTCTTGTGAGCCACGAAATGGATAATCCAAGCCGTAAGTATGAACCACTCAATGGAGAATCTCAGGTCAATGTGGAATCAATTCTTCCATTTTTCATATAAAAAAATGCAAATAGAGATTCGAGGAAAGATAATCTACTTTCATTAAGTGATTTATTAGATAATCGAAAATCGAGGATCTTTGCCGTTCTTATCTCTCAGAATGGGGATTCAAACCATTGCTCTAAGTTAGGAGAATATCCACAATAGCTTTTGATTACTGGGTTAACTTATGAAATGTTGACTATACAAACAATTTAATTAAAATGTGTCACTCAGAATAATCTCGAGAATCAAGACCAATGTAACACATGAACAAGTCGAGTTATACAACTTAGTGACTGGCAAGGGGACAAACAAGTTTTAAAAAGTGGCAAATGAAGAAAGATAATAGGTCATTCTTTTCACATCTTTAGGTGTAAAGGCGTCCTAGTTAGGAATGGCAATTGGGCTCGCCGGCTCGGCTCAGGGCCGGGGCTCGGTAGACCCGAGCCTAGGCTCGGACCGAGCCCCATTTTGGGGACACTGGCTTTGCCCGAGCTGGCCCGTGAGCTCGCGAGCTTTTTAAAAAAATAATAATAATAAAAAATAAAATTTGACGAACCTGCTGCCTTTTAGCAGCAACTTGTTCGCTGCCTTAAAAGGCAGCAGCTTAGTTAGGAAGAAAAAAAAAAAAGGAAAAAGGGAGAAAACGAGCCTGCCCGGCTCAACCCGGAAAAAGTCCGAGTAAAAGCTCGAGTCGAGCCTATTTTTTTTGGTCGAGTTTTTACTCGGCTTGGCTCGAGCCCGCAAAAAAGCTCGGCTATTTTGACCAGGCCGAGTCCTAGCCGAAACTTTAGGCTCGCGAGCCGGCTCGACCCGACTCGTTTACATCCCTAGTCTTAGTTGTTTAAAAAGTGCTACAATATCAACTAGAACTAAAGCATTTGGAGCTAACATATGTTCTGAGTTAGGCCTTGGAGCATGGAATGTGTTGCTTTCAACCCTTGATATTTTGAAAGCTTAAAATCTAGGAAAATACTAAGTTTTGATTAATTTAATTAAAATTATTTAATTATAAAAATACAACTTTACCGATCAGGTAGTTTGCCTGTACGTCAAACTAGGGATAGCAAAAGATTCGGGCCAGGGCGACTATTTTGCCATTAAGCTTCTTCACATAGGAAAAGACTAAATATGATTAATTAAATATTCTGGTAAAACGATTAAAAAAAATTATGCAAATAATGTAACTAGAAGACTTACTGATTGCTAATGTATGGAGTAACAGATGAATGAGAAAAAAAATTAGACGAAAATAGAAGAGTGTTTGAACTTGAAGAATAAAAAATGAAGAATTTACAAAATTCACCGTAATTACACTTTATATACCATATTTATATATGTACACGGTGTGCCATCTTTCTATCATTCGGGTAGGTTTGCTTCTTGAAGTTTCCAATAGACGTTATTTGCCTGATATGATTCCTATGCACTTAGGACTTTAACCTTATCCAAATGCATCAACGCTTGACTCCCACAAGGACTTCATCTTCAACATGTCACTGCAATGACTTACAATTGCAATATCATATCCTCTATCTGACGGGACTCTATCTGATAAGAATAATCAAATCCTACCCAGAATGCACTACCAATCTCTATAAATGAGGCTCAATCCAATATTCAGGTACGTTTTCCAATCTTTTCAATTTATAGCCCCACGCACATATTCTTTTTCTAACTTAAATATTAGAGGGGTAACGAGAATACACATCGTTGCCTTTGTTTTTGTTGGAGACGACTTATAAAAAGGGTTATGTAAGGGTTGGTTTTTGATATATTTGTTTGACCAGTTTTAACTCGTACGAGCGTGATCAAAACATAATTTATATGAATGGAAATTTGGATAAAATTTCGGTATATCGATTACGCAAAACAAGGATTAAGAAGGGGCAGAAATAGAGAATAATCCAATGCGAGACATTATCTCTTTTCTTAAGACAAATTACCCCGTTATGGTGCTCACGGAGAATGACACTTGTCTTCTAAGATACAATGGATTCACTACTTGTGGTTGCAGCACTTCAAACCACAAGAAACCGACGAACTTTTGATAGAATTTTCCCTCTACAAAGGAAATGAATGAGAATGCTATGGAATTAGAAAGGAGAGAATTGTAAGAGGATAATGAATGTTCAATGCAATTGGTGTACCCAAAATCATGTCCATATGGTCCTATTTATAGATGTAGAAAGGGTGCAAATGAAGTAGTATGGGCCAAAACATGCATCCTTTCGAAAAGTTGCAAAACTTCATTTCTTCCAACTTTGGTCCACTATTTCTTATTCATCCGGAATTGGTTTCTAGATTCCAAATATATCTCGACAATCTACTCGACGAGTAGAATATTTGGTCTATTTACTTTTGTAATTTGACCATCGGATCAAATCTGAATATTTGGTCGAAGTTGACACGTAGTTATACCTTTTCATTTTCCACTTTTACACACCTTTCATTTTTCAATTTTTGGTTAATTATTTGAACCAATTCCTACAATCCCCCACATAAATGGAAATTCGGGTACGTATATGCAAATGCAATAATATGATGCAACGTAGAGAGGATACGAAAAAATACTGCATCAGGGATGGTGGCTTCTGGCCTTGAACCTCCCTTAGTGAAATACTATCGGACTTACTCGGCTAATTGGTTAACCATAGGTCTTGAACCACTCAGCCTTTGGTGTAAGTCAAGACAACAGTACTCACACAGATATCTTCCCTATTCTGTACTTAGTTCTCATGACTTGGTTCATTTTGGCCCTGAATCCTTCTTGATTTCTTAAGTGTTTAGAGAATTCAAACCTTAAACAATTCTTATCAAAGCGGCCCCACTTCACACTTACATAGGTGACCTCCTATTAAGAGTATTCTACCCTACTCCACTTAACTTAATCAAGATATAGCCTCTATCGACTCTGCATAAAGCACTTTAGTATCATAGGAATGAGCTAGGAACTCTAATTTCCTAAGTGCTTCATGGAATTTTCACAACTTAGTTGTCCCTTTGAATCAAGATCTTGGGATCTTCAGTCAACAAGGTAGGGTTACCATTGCAAAAACTCTTAAGTAGTAGGCTTTAATCCTATTCCTCTCGATAGGCAACGCACTTGATCTCTAGGCAAATTTTTCATAAGTGGATCCACAATATTCTCCTTTGATTTCACATAATCTATGGAGATAACGCCATTTGAGATTAGTTACTTAATGGTGTTGTGTCTACGACAAATATGTCTAAACTTACCATTATATATGCTGCCTCGAGCCCTTCCAATTGCTAATTGTCTATTACAATGTATACTTATCGCAGGTACTGTCATGAGCCAATATGGAACATCTTCTAAGAAATTTCGAAGTCATTCTGCTTCTTCTCCAGCTTTGTCCAAAGCAATAAACTCAAATTTCATCGTTGATCGAGCTATGCACGTTAGTTTTGTTGATTTCCATGATACAGCAGCTCCACCAATGGTGAATATATAACCACTAGTGGATTAGGAATCCTTCATATCGGATATCCAATTCGCATCACAATATCGTTCTAGTACCGCAGGATATTTTATGAAGTGTAATCCATAGGTTAAGGTATATTTCAAGTACCTTAGAACCCTTGTCAAAGCCTTCCAATGATCACGATTTGGATTACTTATAAATTTACTAAGTTTATTCACTGCAAAAGCAATATCCGGTCGAGTGTAGTTTGTAATATACATAAGACTGCCAATTATTTGTGAATACCTTAGTTGCGACATGCTTTCTCCCGTATTCTTGACTAAGTACATACTCGGATCAAGAGGAGTTCTTGCAGAACTTTCCTCAAATACATCAAACTTCTTAAGTACTTTTTCTATGTAGTGAGATTGTGAAAGTACAATTCCATCCTGTATTCTAGAGACTTTAATCCCTAGGATTACATCCGCCACACCCATATCTTTCATATCGAAATGCTTTGTTAGCATCTTTTTAGTGTTAAGCAACATTTCGTGACTATTGCCCATTATTAACATATCGTCCACATATAAACATACGATTACATAGACATTCGGTGTATATTTAATATATACACATTTGTCATATTCATTGATCTTGAATCCATTTGATAACATTGTTTCGTCAAACTTTTGGTGCCATTATTTAGGAGCATGTTTTAATCCATACAAGGACTTAACAAGTTTAAACACTTTGTGTTTTTGGTTAGGAGAAATGATCCCTTCAGGTTGCTCCATGTAATTCTCCTCTTCTAACTCATCGTGTAGGAATGCTGTTTTTACATCCATTTGATGAATCTCAAGATTATGTACTGCCGCAATTACAATTAACAACCTTATCGACGTTATTCTAGTCACGGGTGAGTAGGTATCAAAGAAGATAAGTCCTTCTTTTTATCTATATCCTTTAGCAACCAATCTAGCCTTATCTTTATCAATGGATCCGTCAAGTTTCAATTTCTTT